CTGAGCAGGGAGCCCAATGCGGGGCTCGATCCCAGGACCCTGGGATCATGACCTGAGCCGAAGGCAGACGCTTAACCGACTGAGCCACCCAGGCGCGCCCCGACCTATGAGATTGTACAAGCAACTTGCTCAGTGGAATTATTAATAGTTCTTGAAATATATAAGTTTTGGTGATATGGTGGATGATCTAGGGAAGAGTCAGACTGTTGAAATCAATTGTTTTTTATTTTCTTTGGGCAATTGGATGATAAAATGTATTCAATACCTTGGATTTTATTCTTTCTGAATCCACCCTTTCTAGATCTCTTCATTTAAAGTTCAGAAGACTGTGATTCTGTCTTTAGAGGAATGTTATAATGCAAGTAGAGATAGGTTTATTTTACAAATGAAGAAATAACTTATAGTAAGGTTTATAATCAACCTGAAAGGATGTAATTAACATTAACATGCTCAGAAATGAAAGTAAATGGAATATTTGGGGAGTTGAGCATGATGATTTAGAACTGAGATTCGATTAAACTAGGTTTTGCAAATATATTTGAGATTTATTTTACTAGGAAGTGAAATGTGAAGAAATCATTTGAAAGCATTGAGAACTGCTATATATGTGTGTATGGGATTTGCATGCATTTCAAGTACATATAATACTGTTATGAATAAAAAGGGTGGTGTTGACAAGATTTGGGTTATCTGTCTACAAGTGGTGTTGGATTTGTGCTGTCATACCTGTTGGGTGATATACCTTGGAATCAAAAACATACATATTTAAGGTAGTTAACCATGCTATAATGTATAATATAGACTGCCTGTAATTCAGCTAGCTCTTCAGTAGGAATCTTTCATTGCTTTTGTGTCTGTCATGAAGGCTGCCTTATAAAAGGAGAATTAATCAGTCACAGATATTGCTTATTGGTTTTTGTCTATATTAGTACCTCTGTGAACTAAAAGAGCTATACACATTGGGTAAATATGCCAGTAACATTTGGGCATTCATTTACCTGGTAATTTCATACTGGGGAAAAACTCAAACTATTGGAAAATGAGATTATTATATTTTTCATTCTTTTATATGTGAGTTACAAATGAATACTTCATAATCTAGGCTTGGTATCTAGAGTTAAAAATACATTATTTTTTCTTTTATTAGGTTGGTATGAATTCAGTTAGCATCATAAAAATAATATAATGGAAGAGTAGAAGAGGAAAAAAAGGAAAAAGTGCAGTTTAGTCAGTGAGCCTAAGGACTTATATGTACAGAGAATTGGTTTTAGATTTCTCAGGGAAGAGAGAAGAAGCACAAATCATAATTGCTACTTCACAATGCTTGTACTCACTAGAATCTGTTTGTATTCTGAAATCACTGAAAGAACAATTTAAAGCTCTTTAGAATCAGGTTCTAGTTTAGCATAGTATGGTTTAGAATAGTTTAAGAATTTGGAGAACAAGATGATTATGAACTCTGCCTAGTCAAGTAGGAGGTGGTTCTTGGGCTTGAATTGAGGAGTCTCTGGATTGTTACTGGAAGGGGAGGAAACGTACAGAGGTAAGGCAAGAGCCGTTGAGTGGGCAGAGACAACAGAACGTCAGTGAGCTACCTATGAATAAGGCTCAGTTCAGAATAGATTTGGTTTTTCTTTTATGTTTTACATCTCTTACCCCAAATTAACACTCCATATTCCTTTTCCCCATCTGACCTTTCTCTGAGAGGTATTTTATTTTCTTAAAAAGAAATAAGCCTTCCTTTTCTAAAGGCAGAGTGGTCTGAATAGAGTCAACATATTTAGATATGTTCAGTGGCACCTCTTTTATTTTCAAGTAGAATAGGGAAGCCTTGAGAAAAGAACTAGGGCCTTTAGAGTTGGATAAGGATTCACACCCTGGTGGGTCCACCATTTGACTTTTGACTTTGGGCAAATTTAACATTCTTTCCATTAATTTTGTATGGGAACAGTACTATATACCTCATGGGGTTGTTGTTTTCATTAAATGAAGTCATATATATAAACTAAATATGATGCCTGGTCTACACAATGAATAAATGGTGGTTTAAAAAATTACTTATAATTGAAACAAATAGTTGAAGTAATTCTATATGATAAACTAAGATGAGCATTTAAAAATAATTTGTAGTAGGGCGCCTGGGTGGCTCAGTTGGTTAAGCGACTGCCTTCGGCTCAGGTCATGATCCTGGAGTCCCTGGATCGAGTCCCGCATCGGGCTCCCTGCTCAGCGGGGAGCCTGCTTCTCCCTCTGACCCTCCCCCCTCTCATGTGCTCTCTGTCTCTCTCATTCTCTCTGTCTCAAATAAATAAATAAAATCTTTAAAAAAAATAAAAAAATTAAAAAAATAAAAATAATTTGTAGTAAAGAATGCAGTTTACTTTGTATACTTCAGCAGTTTTCTCTTTTTAATTCTTTACGGTTCTCATTTTTCTATCTCTTCTTTCTTTTAGGAGACAAGGATGGCAGCAAGGTGACTACAGTGGTGGCAACTCCTGGGCAGGGTCCAGATAGGCCACAAGAAGTCAGCTATACAGACACTAAAGTGATTGGAAATGGGTCATTTGGTGTGGTATATCAAGCCAAACTTTGTGATTCAGGAGAACTGGTTGCCATCAAGAAGGTCTTACAGGACAAGAGATTTAAGGTAAGACCTTTGGTATTTCATGTATTTTATTGCTATCAATAGATGTAAATAAGTATTTTTTTCATTCATTTCTCTTTGCTTCAAATTTGCTTCAAATTTCATTTACTGTGCAAATTTATTATAGAGACTTTATTTTCTGTTTTGTATTTTGTAGAGATAAAATTCACTAAAGATTGCAATATTTTTGAATCACTGCTGAGTGATATATGATTTTAAAATGTTGTGAAAGTAGATTAAAATTTCTTAATTTATACTTTTAAAAAGTGACCTGGATCTCATTGGTATAGGAGACCAGAGAAACTCTACCTGTGGTGTTTGATCGTTTGAACAATTGACTGTCCTTCCTTTCTTAAAATTTCCTTTGAATCTGTGATGCAACACTATCATTTATTTTTTCCTAAATACCTCTGATTTTCTTTGCAATTTTCTTATGTCTTCCATCCATCTACCCCTAGAAACCAGCCATCCCCACAGTTTAGTTTATTTTCATTTCTTACACTAGCTCTTTAGGGGATCCTATGCATGAATGGTTCAGAGGTCATCTCTATTTTATGGTATATAGTGGAGAGTCAGGAGACCTGGGCTCTAATGTAGGCTCTGCCATTAACAAGCCAAACAGCTCTGTTCCATTCTCTACTTTCCCTACCTGTGCAACATTTTACTGAGAGTCTCTCCTGTGCTAGCAACCATGCCAAACTTGAAGGGATATAAAAATAAATGAGATGATCACTCCTCTGAAACAGCACACAGTCTGTTAGCTCTGTTCTCTAGAATGTCCCAAACATTCTAAAGAGGTTTTTTTTTTAGAAAAAAAAATTCTTAATACCTTTTGTCTTCAGTTCTCACACTCTCTCCTAAGTACTAGTCCCCTGCTGCCAAATGCCCATTGGATCTTGATTTGTTATCTCAGGTTGGCAAGGCTTCTTGTCTAATCCTGACCTGACTTTTAAGACCCAATGCAAATCCTTTCCTTTTTGCATTTTCCTTCTAATGATTCCTTCCCATTCCCTTTTGCTTTTTCCTTCTAATGATTTTGTTATTCATCTTGTCATTCAGACTTTTCTATTCTCTCATACCTCATATCTAGTTGTTATCAAACTTCATTGATTTTTTTTCCCCCCTCACTGCCTTGATGATTGTAACTTCTTTCCCTTTTTCATCACTACTATTCTAGTCAGTCCCTTACCATTATTTGGCTTGCCCACTAGTAAGACTCTACTTCTGGGGCACCTGGGTGGCTCAGTTGGTTAAGCGACTGCCTTCGGCTCAGGTCATGATCCTGGAGTCCCTAGATCGAGTCCCGCGTCAGCCTCCCTGCTCGGCAGGGAGTCTGCTTCTCCCTCTGACCCTCCCCCCTCTCATGTGCTCTCTCTCAAATTCTCTCTCACAAAAAAAAGAAAATAAATAAAATCTTAAAAAAAAAAAATTGTAGAGTGTTGATTTTAATATTACACTCACTTAAAGACTAGAATAAAATGTGTCAGTTTTGTCTGGCTTTCTTCTGGATTTGTTGCTGCTCAAGACTGAAGTTGCTAGAAGTGTGACCACTGAATCAGTGAGCCATTGTGCTTTTTAAAGTATTTATGTCTTTTGTCTAAGCATTTGTTGTTTACTCTTTCCATCCATGTATAGTATACTATTTTTTTGGTAATATGGTAAACTTCCTCATTAAGAAAAATTTAAATATACTGCTTACTCCCCCCACCCCCATATTGGGCAAAAGTTTGTAAATCAAACAGGTAAATATGCTTAAAACTTAAAAGATTCTCTCTTTTTTTTAAAGATTTTATTTATTTAAGAGAGAGAGGGGGCATGGGTGTGCTAGAGCACAGCGGGGAGGGAGGGAGAAGGAGAGGCAGAAGCAGACTCCCCGCTGAGCAGGGAGCCTGACACTGGGCTCAACCCTAGGTCCCTGGGATCAAGACCTGAGCTGAAGGTAGACCCTTAACTGAGGAAGCCACCCACGCACCCCAAAACTTAAAGATTCTAATGTAAATCCTAAAAGCTGAAGCTCTTTACATACATGCTTCAAAAACCTTTTAGACTTTCATGGGAAATAAACCTCTTTCTAAAATGCATCTTGATATTATTTCAAGTGAGAGCTTAAGACCAAGTGAAATATTTATTCATTTTGGGTTTGGTTTGATTTTATTCCAATTCACTAGAGTTAGAAAAAAGGAAAAATATGCTTGATTCTAGTACATGGTTCATAAGTAAAATAATATTTAAGTTCAGGCTGTTGAAAATTAGCAGGGTTCATTCTGGTTTTTGGTTTGTTTGGTTTAAAATAAAACTTGTTTTGTTTTTTTTTTAAGATTTTATTTATTTGACAGAGAGAGAGATAGCGAGAGCAGGAAC